TGCGTGGCCGCTGCTGTTCTCGCCCGTGAGGAGGCGGCTGTTGTTGTTTGTTTGTTTGTTTTCCGCGGGTTGCCGATGCCGTACGCACGGGGGCCTCTCCGCCTTGTTCTCGGCGCGCGCGGTGGTTCGTTGCTTTACGAGCCCCTCGTGCCCGGCTGTGCGTCCCGCCCCGCGGTGGTCAAGGCGGCGCAACGTCTCGTGTGGCCGCTTTGCCCCGACACGCACTCCTTCTGTGTCTGCCGCTGGTCAGTTGGCCTCGCCGCGCCCAGCCGCAGATGTCTTCCTCCCACACGATATTTTTTGGGTCCGACGGCGGCGGTCGGGCAACGCCGTGCGGGCAAATCCCATCGAGGACGTCAAGGACGCAGCGCAGCGGCTTCCCGGGTCTTCCTCAGATGTCCTCGTTGACGTGCCTGCGCGGGCTGCCGTTGTGCCGTACGCGCCCCCACCTGGCGCTCTCTCCTCCCCTCCCGTTCGCCTCCTCGTGCGCCGTCGCCCTCCTCCCTCCTCTCTCTCTCGCTCTCTCTCTCTCTCTCTCCCTGCGGCAGTAATTTACAGGCTACACAGCAAGACAATCACAAGGCAGCGGTGAGTATGGCGGTGTGCTGGAGGCGGCGTGGCTGCAGTGCGCACTTTGGCTCGTGGCCCTCTGCGGCGTCGCCGTGCCTCCTCCTCCTCGTCCTTCTGCTGCTGCTGCTGCTTCCGTTGCCCCCGCACAGCGCGGCCGCCCACGACGCGGATCCTGACACCCCAGTGAAGATTTTGATGTTGAAGCCAAGTTTTTCCACCAAAGCCGACTCTATCTCCACTGCGTTTTACGCCGGCGTGCATGCGTCGCTGATGGCGCACAACTCCACAGCTGAGGACGACGTTCGCGTTGAGATTGTCGAAAGGGAAGCGAAGCTTGACAACTACGCCACCGTTCTGGAGGACGTGGTGAAAAAGAAAAGGACATTCTCACTATTCTGGCCCAGTTTGATGATGCTTACGTGATGAGTGCGCTTCCAGTTTTGTCTCGCTTTGACCTCGTTTCTTTTGCCCCGTTCACTGGGTCGAGTGCGGTAAATGGGTGGAACTCCAACATGTACTTTGTGCGCCCCGGCCCTAAGGCCGAGCTGCTGGCACTTGTCCGCTACGCCGTGGCTCAGCTGCGGGTGCTTCGGCTGGGCTTCATGTACCTGCAGGATGGCATCTTTGGTGAAGCGGAGTATGAGCAGGCAGAGCGTGTGCTGTCGGCGATGGGCTACGAGTTCTGCGGTGTCTTCGCCGTGAAAACCGCTTCAAGTGGTGAGGCCGACCCTAACGAGTTCAAAGATGCGTGGGAGCGGTTTGCTGCGACTCGGCCGCAGGCTGTGATTGTGTTTGGCTCGTTCTCGAAGTGCACCGATAAATTCATTGAGACGATGCTGAAGGACGAGCGCACCGCCGGCGCGTACCTGCTGGCTCCCTCGGCGGTGCAGCCAACTGTTCTGCGCGTATGGCGTGCTGCCGTGGCCGATGATGGTGTCAAGTTCGTGCCCGGGCAGGTGTTCGCGACGGGGACGAACCCGCTGGCAAACGACGCAAGGTACGACGCCATCCAGCGTTTCCAGGCGGTGATGCGGGTTTACCTGGAGAATAGCGGGCAGAGGGACTACAATGACACGGAGCATTTCCTCAATAATGACGGCGACGGGGAGCTGATGGTTGATGGGTGGATTGCCGGCGAGGTGCTGGCGCAGGCGCTGAGCGACTGTAAAGGGGTGAGGGACCGCAAGTCGTTCATGGAGTCTCTCTTCAACCAACGCCGGTATTTAATCGACGAGCTTGTGATTGGCGACTACGGTGGCGAGTGCGAAGAAGGGGCTGAAGCACGCGGGGCCACCTGCCGCTGCAACCAGGGCGGCACCGCGGTGTACATGAAGCGGTTCGTGGAGGACTACCGCGCAGAGACACTTGCGAGTGGCCTCATGACTTTCCACCCATCAGATTGTAACGCTACATCGACTTACGTGCCGCCGGTGTTTGTTGGGGTGGAGTTTCTTATGAATGATAGCGCTGTTGCACTAAGTGCGGTTGCAGTGCCCCACACCGGGTTTATTGTGGCAATTGCCGGCCTTATGGCCTCGTGGGATGAACCTGAGATCAACATGGCCTCGCTTCCCTCCGCACTTGCTGATGCCCGTGCTGCCCTGCAGTCGGAGCTGCGGTCACGGCGGGTTTATTGGGTTGCGGGTGTTGTGACGGAGGCGATGCTGGACGTGGAGGGTGTGGCCTTCCTTGACCCGCTGCAGCTCGAGCCGCGGCAGAACAGGTTCCGCCGGCACGTGATCCACCTGTCGCCGACGCTGGAGCAGCAGTTCTTCGTGCTTGCGGAGTACCTCCGGGACACGGGTGTCCGCGCGGCGCACGCGGTGGTCCGCGGCGAGGGGGCGGCGGCGGTGGCGGAGGTGCTGCGGCGGTCGCTGGTGACGTTTGGCGGGTCGCTGCGGTCCGCGACGCTGCTGGCCGGCGGCGACGCGCTGGCGGGGCACCTGCCGGAGGCGGGCGACGTGTTCGTGGCGGGTCGCTGCGGCCGGCGACGTCGCTGCGGTGGCGCGGCACGTGGCCTTGCACGACGGCGTGCGCGTGTTCGTCGCGTTCTCCGAGTTTGTGCTGCTGCACGCCGACTTCGTTGCCGCGTTCGGTGGCGGTGCGGGCGCCGACCGCGTTGTGTTTGCGACGAGCCTGCCGCACTGGGACGACGCGAACGCGACGTCGGAGACCGCCCGGGAGTTCCTCGCCGCCGTGCCGGACGTCACGCAACGGACGCCGCTGGCGCTGATGGGCTTCGCTGCCACGCAGCTGCTGCGGACGGTTCTCTCCCGCATGGACAAAGTGAGCGCTGCGCGGCTGGCTGAGTTCTTCTACAGCAACGTTGCTGTCACCGCGAAGGACGTGCTGTACGGCCCCTTCGTTAACGGCACGGCGTGTGCTGCGGCTGCGGCTGCGGCCGGCGGTGCTGGGTGCGGCAAGAACTACGGGGCGACGCACATTTCTGTGTGGTCGCTTGCCCGTGCGCTGGACCCCGCCGTGACCCCGACTATGCGCTACGGGGAGCCCGCTGCGCGCGGACTGACGGAGCCGCAGCTGATCGGCACCATCGTCGGCGGCGTCGTTGGCGGCCTGCTGCTTGTGGGCGTGGCGGCTCTGCTGCTGCGCTTCTGCCGCGACTCGCGCGACAACGCGA